TGCTCGGATGGCGAATGGTGAGCTGACATTAAATCTTAGAATTATCAGTGGGCCAAGTAGAGACTCAGATCTGAATGCCACTAACCTGGGTATGTAAGGAAACCCATGCCAGCGACCTGGAGACAGCTATATCCGAAGGAAGGACCCCACGAGGGCTCCTAGGATCTTCTCAGCCCCCGCAGGGGCAGTGAGTGCCCTATTGTGGCCATGACATCTGCAGAGATGCATGATATTAACTGTATTTATTGGCTCCTTCATTGCCCATTAGTTTCTGCAGAGTTGTAAGCACAAGAGGATTGCTCTAGTCATTATGGTTTTTAGAGTCCATGATTACATAAAAGCAAGTTTCATCCACTGACATCACCAAAGCACAGTGAATCTAGGCTCCTCCTGCAATGAAAATTGTGCCGTTCAGTGAGTGAAGCCCAGCGATAACTGTAACTCTGAGTAGGAAGGGCCAGGAGAAGCCGAGGGGAACCCGGATGCCTGACTTTCCCTCCCGGTAGCTGGCTGTGATGATTTGGGTGCTGTGAATTGACCCGTTTTCAGTAACTGAGGGAGCTGGGCTGGAGAGTGTTGTACGGAAGAACAGGTTCCCCTCTCTCACCTGTCCTGCAGGCGAGGAGCCCGAGTGCAAGGACATCGCCGCCAGGGTGCAGTACATCAGGGTGGGGGACTGTCAGTCTGAAGAGGAAGTGGACATTCACTACTGCCAGGTAAGGGGGCCTGGCTGGGGAGGGGTGCGCCTCCATGTTTGGACACACCTCATTAGTTACACTGTGGAAGAACCCGGACAGTTCATGGGGAGGAGTGAAAGGAATGGGAGGCTTAAAAATTTTTTTCTTTTTTAAGGAAATGTTTTATCGAAGTAACTGGGAACTTTTGACCCCAGGAGGGGAAAAAAACTAAGGAAAGATTCAAGTCCTTTGAAGAGAATGGGGAGTTAGTTACGGAGCTTGTATTTCCTGAAGGTCAACCAGACATGCCTAGGTTGCAGCTGGAGGGGTTCGGGTGTCAGAAGACCACAGGACGGGCATTTCAGACCCCACCCCTCCCCTCCCGGGGGCTCCTGTCGCACGGGTTGCTCTGGGCGAGGCAAGGCCCTCTGGTGGCCGGTGGGGGCGGGGCACGGGTGGAGGAAGCAGGCCACCCCAGAGTCCTGCCCGCCCTGGGGCTGCCCAGCACCGCAGCGGCCCCTCTCTCTGCCCCGTCATAGGGCAAGTGCGCCAGCAAAGCCATATACTCCATCGAAGCGGAGGATGTGCAGGACCACTGCTCTTGCTGCTCGCCCGCACGGATGGAGCCCAAGCTAGTGCCCCTGCGCTGCACCAACGGCTCCATCGTCCACCACGAGATCCTCAACGCCATGCAGTGCACGTGCTCCCCCAGGAAATGCAGCAAGTGAGGCCCTGCCTCGCCCTGGACACCCGCCGCCATCCGCCACGGCAACCACCAATTGGCGCACGCGCGCTCTGCTCTCGTGCTCCCCCGCACCCCCACCTCGGGCCCACAATAAAGGCCAATCTCTCATCTTGACAAAGGCTCATGGTTCCCCGTGTCTTCCAGGCTCAGAAGGCCATTGTAGGCCGGGCTTGAGTTCCGAGGCTGGTGCTGAGGGAGGGAGCACGGCTCCATCTCTCTGGAAACACTCCAGGCCGGACGACTGCAGATGGCACTGCCAACCTTTTGGGGGAAAAAGTGGCATCTCAGCCTCCACCGGCTGGGGAGGGGACACTGAGGTCCAGGCCTCAGAAGCCCAGCCCAGTGGCCTGAAGGAGAAGGGATTTGCTGAGGAACACTGGGGTCTCCAGTCTCTGAATCCAGGGGCTTCTGAGCAGAGCAGAGGGGTGGCCCTGGGGCCAAGCTGTCAACAGTGTGGCTGACGTGGTGGGAAAGGACCCCCACCAGGTGTGCAAGGGTTTCTCTGAGCCCTCAGCTGACCGAATTCCTGTGTTCCCACAGTGGCCCCGTGGGAGGGAGAGGGGCTGGGGGCTGGGGGACTGGAAACGCATGGTCCCACCCAGCACAGGCTCAGCCAAGGGCGGAGCGCCAGGCTCGGGGGCAGGCCTGGGTTCCACACACAGTCCTCGCTCTGCTGTGTGGCCTCAGCAGACCCCTTCGTGGTTCTCCGACTCGATTTCCTCAACTGGAAAAGAGGACCATCAGGAACACTCATGCAGGTTGGGAGGGGGAAACACGCCGAAAGTGCCTGCGAATTGCTCTACAATAATAGAAAAAAAGGGCAAGAATAAAAATGGGGAAATCAGGGCTCAAAGAGGGACTAAGTGTTTATCACAGTAGCAGAGCATTGGGGGTTTCCTTTGTTCTAGGGGTGAAGGAGCTGCGTTTCTTTTGGGCTGGATGCTGGAGGCCAAGGCCCCGAAAACTCCAGAACCCCGTGGTGGATGGGGAAGAGGTGTAGCTAGTGCCAGACTTCACCGGGTCCCCACATCACTCATGGCTGCTGTCACTCTCAAGGAGAGATCGTCCTTTCTTAAAGTTTTATGAAGAAGCTTACACGTATATGCTGGCAAGACGGCAGAGACCCGAGGCGGGGAGAGAACGCCCGCGGGAATAAAAGTAACGCCCTGGATACGAGGCAGGGATTCGTTGGGGGGCTGACTTTCATTCCAGATCCTTTTAACCCAGGAGAGACTCATTAGAAGTGCTGCACGATGGAGCTGGAAAGGATGCAGACACCATCTACTGCACCGCCCCCTCCTGCCCCTTTACAGAGGATGAAAGTAGCTCAGAGAACTCCAGCGACTTGCCAGAGGTCACATAGCTGCAGGTGCAGGGTCAGGTTCAGCAGCCAGGCGCCTGGACACCCGGGCAAGAACTCCAGCGCAGGTCCACCAGAGCCTCACGTCCCTGTTCTGACAGATTCGGTCCTTGTTCTCAGGGAAACCAGTGATGGCTGCATTTCTAGGTCTCCCTGCTTCTGGCATGGCTGGGGAAGAACTTACATGGAAGATGCGTTTCAGGCAAATGGCATGGGCTGTGCTGAGCAGTTTTGGTGGGGCGTTTCGCAGGGTACAGGGCAGGAAGAATGGATAGAAGTTTTATGTAACTGCTCAGTAATTCCGAGGTGGTCATCCTCCATCCATCACCCCACCTCCAACTCTGAGTAGCCTCTAAGGTCTCTGTAGGAAACCAGATCCAGGGCCAGGGAATTACCTGTCTCTTCGGACTGATCGCCTAACACTCCGCCTGGGGACGGGGTGCTCCTGGAGGCATCAGCCTCAGAGAAACTCAGCAGGGAGGCTACCGCTTCAGCAGGAGGTGTCAATTTTCCAGCTGCCTCCATGGTCTGAGTTCTCATTTTGACCGATAGGATGATTTACTATCAAGAAAAAAGCTGAATCAAAAAAACCTGCATGTTTTGATTAAAAAAGATGGCAGGGAGCAGGGTAAAAAGGATGCAGAAGCTGGGAGTGGGGTCTGAACCAGCAGCTGCCCCACCCTCTGCGGGCATTCCAGAGCGGGTCTGCCTCTGGTCTCAGGGACTCTGTTTTTGGTCACTCTCAGACCACATTAGACAGTCCCCCAGAGTGAGAGTCTCAGGGAGAGTCTCCAGGAGGGTGTGTGCAGGGACCAGGGGACCAAGAAAGTGCTGGAGGGAGAGAAGAGAGGAAATGGATAAGGAGTGGCAAGTGGAAAGGTTTCTGATCCTCTTGGCATTGAAAAGACAGGAGAAGGGTTCCTGGAAGTTAATGGAGAAGGGCATTGCTTGGGAGAGAAAGGAGCTGGTAGCCAAGCGTTCGAGCACGACCCTGGAGTAGGCATAGCCCTCAGGGGCAGGCTGCCTGACCGATTACACTGCAGTCTCGTCTGTAGAATGGGCGCATGGACAGTAACTCCCCCGTAGAACTGTTGTTAGAATAAAACAGTTCCTCCGCAGAAGGCCCTGAGAAGGGTGCCGAGGAGGAGGAAGCCGTGTATCCGCATCGGCCCTGATGACTCCTGGCGGCCAGAAGGCAGCCCCAGACTGGCACACACTGCTTTGGTTTTCCTTCTGCCCGCCCCCGACTCATGCTGTGTTGTTGCCTCAGGTTCCTCATCTATCCAGCGGGGAGCAGTCCCCACCAGCCCCCCTTATCCGTGTGGGAGATAGCCTTCTTCACATGAAAGTACACGGTCACACGTAGCCTACTCGACATACATTGTTAACACAGTTCCTTTCCATTTCCGGGTTCCTGGTATTGCTCCGCTTCAGGGCATCTGGGAACTGTACATTCCGTTACCCAGAATGGCCCGTTGGAGGCCTCCTCTTCCCGCCTCCTGCCCACAGCCGGTACCAGACCCACTCCAGGGAGACGCACTCCTCTTGTCCCAGGGATGGAGTTGCCATAATCTGCCTCCTCAAGCGGTCCTCCCTCTTCCCGGGGAAGCTTTTCTAAAATTTGCCCCTCCCCCTGCCTCTTGCAGCGCCTCCTCCGGCCCTACCTGTCTCCGGTGCAGGATTCCTCCACTCCTGCTCCTGTCAGTCTGGAGAAAAGTGGGGACAGCTGGTGTTGGGGCCGAGTGCAGGCAGGTATTCTGGGGCAGCCTCCCGCCCCAGCCCGGGGCGGTCCGGGACAGGGTGGCGGGAAGCCGGCTTCGCGGGCGGGATTGGAAACTCATCAGCCAGACGGCTCACGAGATAATCCGGCTGAAGGCTCACACCCGAACCAGGTTAGGAGGCAGCTCCCCTGGGCGGGGAGAGCAGGCCGTCTTACGTCTCGCCCCTCAGCTTCGTTAACCCGAGCTTGTCCTGGACTCACCCCGCCCGCGGGAACGCGCTCCACCCTCCACGTGGCGCGGCCAGAGCCCGTGCGCCCGGGGCGCCGCGGCGGCCGGGAGGCCGGGCGCGGGCTGGGGGAGGAGGCGGCGGCCGCGGGTGAGGGGCGGGCACGTCCGGATGGAGCTGAGCCGCGATGGAATTAGCCCCGCGGCTGAGTAAGCCGGTCCAGCCGCCGGCGCAGCCGCGGGGCAGTCCGCGCTTGGCGCCCTGTGCGCCCGCACCATGGCCACCCCCGGGCTGCGCGGTGAGTCTTTCCCGCCGAGGGCCTTGGTCCTGGGCATCGGGCAAGTTGCAGGAGAGAGAGGGGCTGGGAGTGAAGGGCGGGATGGGTGACCCCCGGTGAACCTGGAGGGGGCGGTGCGGGAGCTGATCCCTTTCCCTCTGGGCCGGGAAGCTGAGGGGCGCCTGAACCACTTCGCGGGTACTTATTTCTTCTCAAGGAGAGAGGAGGTAGGACAGGAGGCAGAGGATTGGTGCAAGCGACTTTCTGGTGATAAATGACCAATTCCTACCTCTATCTTGTTGTTACAAGCCTGGGATGCTTAGGCTATCTGAATGGTAGGCAAACAACTGGGCTTTAACTCAGAGACAGTCCGCTGAGGTTCAGATTCATCCCCTGCAAGTTGACTCGGGCATCCCTGGAGCACCCTCACAGTTTAAGGGAGTCTCCAACCCCTATCCAAACCCACCCCCAGGAAGGGCACGTACACCTCAGGGTGCAGGGAAACACAGGCGCGTCTTTCCTGGAGACTTTTTGTTTTTAAAGAGGAACCAAATTGAGGCAGCGTTTTGGGGAGCAGGACCTGACCCTGCTGCACCTCCCAAATGATACTGAGAAGACAGATACGTTTGGCAGGACTGACCTTGCCTGGAAAATGATTTTGTTGGGTGTCTTGTTTGTGGTGGCTCTTGAGAGGCGTGGAGTGGGGAGGTGCTCACTCCACTGGCATGAACAGTGGGCAGAAGGGACTGGAATGTAGGCGTCAGCCATCGTGAGACTCTGTGAATCGGTGTGGAGGGACACCCGGGACCATGTGGATGCTGGTCCAGGACAGCAGGTCCCAATGAACAGGGTTAGTTAGGTCTCAGCCCAAAGGCAGGTGGCAGGCGGCAGGCGGCAGGCGAGGGAGGATCGTAGACAAGGTGGGCCTCTCCCAGGGGTTGATGGGACTCTGGGCCCTGCACTTGCCTGGGCTTGTTCTTGGGACCTGACAGCAGAGCCCTGCCCCTGCTACGGGGCATCCAGGGCACAGTTGCCTTCTCACTGTGTCTGCCATGCACTGCCACTTTGGGAACCAGGGACCTGAGAAAGTCCTTTCCAGCCACCTCCATCGCTCTCTGAGTTGCCTCTATGTGGGCACTTGGGCCTCTTTGCTGGCTGATGGAAGAAGGTGGGTTGGGGGTGGGGATGGGTTCCAAACACCAACCTCACGTTCTGGTCCGGTTTCTCTGTGCACCTTCTCTGCCATCTCCCACCGCTGGGCACGGCAACAGGGCCAGAGGCATTTGGGGAGCTTGTCTTTCATTTTCTCTAACAAGGACCCGATTTTCTGGAAATTCATCCATCCTGTGGACCCTTCTACTGGCTGAGAGAAGCTTGTCTAGGCCTGGCATTCCTAAAGCACATGAACTTGACCTCTAGAGACGAGAATCTTGCCTGTAGTTACAAAGTAGAATCAGTCTTTATTTGTGATCCGATGGCTGGGGTGGGAGGAGTTTGAGTGGAGATTGCATTAAATGAAGGAACCAGCCATGCGGACATCTGGAGAATGATCTAGCAACGGCCACAGAAGTGAAAGATCCCGTGGCAGCAAGGTGCTTGGGCTGTCCCAAAACGGGGGAAGCCGGGCGCCTGGAGGGAGAGGGTGAGAGTGAGCGGGTCACGCAGAGTCTCGGAGCTCGGGCTGTGTGTTTTTGACTTTGCAAGAGAAAGGGAAGACTAACATTCATCCAGCAGTTGCTGTGCACCAGACACCGTGCTTCGCTTCACAACAAATTTGGGGGTCAGTAGTAAGTCCATTTCACTGAAGAGGAAGTTGAGGTTCACCTCACCTTGTTGCTTTTGTTGTGCTCTTGAGGAGCCATTAGAAGGAAGTGTAACTGCCAGCAAGGAGAGGATGGAGGGTGGGAAATGTGGGTGGAACTGGGGCCTTAAGGGAGATACTAATTTTGCAAGGCTGTGGTCATAGTCCAAGCAAGGGTTACCTTGACACGATTTCCAATCTGGAATCATCATGGTTAGTTCATCTGGTGGGACCAAGCCCAAGAAGGCTGGTTGTCATCACCAAACTCCTAAGGCAGTGTGCTGCTGTGATCTGCAGGGGACATGCCTTCATGAGCACAGGTTACCTGAGTTCCACATCTGTGGTTCACAGGCACATGGGAGGCTGACCCAGGGACCACTGGGGGCAGAGGACTTGCCCAGTGTCCTGATGGGCTCTAGCAAACCTGGCTCGCAATCGTCTCTGTTGATCTTCATACGATGCGCTTGTAAGTTCAGCTCTCATCAGTTCAGAGGATACCGGCTGAGCCAGATACCACGCTCAGTGCTGGAGCTAGAACCGTCAGCAAGGGCGCATACTGTCAAGACCTAACATTCTGGACTCTTGGTACCCTAAGATGATCTTAATAGGAAAGCAGCCACATCCACTGTTGCTGGACACGGGCAGGGGGAGCCAGGCTCAGGCATGGGCTCGTTCAGACGGCACCAGTGAAATTAGCCGTTTATACTTCAGTATTTCAAGAGGTACTAGAGGTCTTTCTTTGGCTCCTACTGACAACCCTGCCTTTCCTCCAGAAACGCTAAGGAAATAATTTATAAGTCTGTCTGGCCAACAGCTCTCCATGTAAGATAACTTGTGCTGAAACTACTAAAGGCTTGCAGGTCTCACAATTAGCTGACGTCAGACCCTCCCTCTGTGTAGCGAATGCAAGTATAAAGCGTATTACCTTTGCATCTTTTGACCGGTTCACTGATGAAGGGAAAATTCCCACTTTCTAGCAGTTTCTGATGCCTGTAATCATCGTAAACTAATTAAAAATAGCTTGAAGAGGGGAGGGTATAGCTCAGTGGTAGAGTGCATGCCTAGCGTGCGTGAGGTCCTGGGTTCAATCCCCAGTACCTCCATTAAAAGTAAATAAATAATGAACCTAATTGCCTCCATCCCACCCCCAAAAACTTCTAAAAAATTATAAAAAATAGCTTGAAAAATTAAAAAGTAATAATACATCCCCATTGTGGAAAAAAATCAAACACAAATAAATAAAATACATTATTTTTAATATTCTGGTAATTACTCTTCACCCTAACTTCTTTTTTATCTGTTTTTATTTTTGCCTATGTCAGATAACCATTTCTATTTATTATTTATTACTCTTGAGACAAATTACAAAAGGAAAACCTAGTTATAATACAACTTAAACCAAGGATACATTAACAAATGCCAAATAATGAGAGATTGGGAACATGCTGTTATAGCTCCAAACCTAGATAAGAATAGGAAGTGTAATTGAGCAACAACTGATCTGTGAGCTCCCTGACAGGCAGATCAGAAAAGAGATGAGTTCCGTCAGTCTCACCGCCTAATAAAAGGAGACTAGCTCATCAACATTAAACTTTCAGAAGACTGTCACAGTGATATTTGTGATTTTTATAGAAGACATTGCCCAGCATAATGAGCTGTAGTTTTATTAATAGGTTTTTAGAAAAGTGTTCATCACATGAGCATTTATTGTATAGTTTCTGATATTTTTTAAAAGAGGTGTCTCTGTTTTATTCTTTTCTGATCCATTCTATACTATTCTATTGAAAAAATACTGTTTGCAAACCATTAGATAACCAACTATTGGGTTAAACCTCTAACTTGAAAAGTAGTGGCTTATAGCATGTAGAAACCTTACTAGCAATGGTCCGTTTAGACCTGTGACTCTCCATCCCTTTTCCCTCTCCTGCGTGAGAAAGGGATACAAGATCCGTCCATCAGGAGCAATTCTTACCCAGGTTTCCATCTGCTATCTTTTCCTTTCATCCCGAAGAACATCCTTTAACAGTCCTTCGAGTGCATTTCTGCTGGTGATGAATTCTCTCAGCCTGTGTTTTTATGGAAAATGTCTTTATTTTCTCCCATTTTTGTGGGTTGTATATTCACTTTATTTGTGGTGCTTTCTGAATATTTTAAAATTCTGATGAAGGCCAGTTTGTCTGTTTTTTTCCTTGATTCCTTGTGCTTTGGGCATAATAGCTAAGAAACCATAGCCTAGCCCACGGTTATGTAGAGTTACTTCCATTTTGTTTTCAGACAGTTTTACATTTTTAGCTATTTTATTTAAGTCTATGACTTATTTTGCAAAAGTTAATTTTGTATATAGTGTGAGGGAAGGGTCTGACTTCATTCTTTTGCGTGTGAATATCTAGTTTTCCCAGCACTATTTCCACATTTCTTTCCTCACTTCTTTGTACCCTTGTTGACGTTCAAGGGTTTATTTTTAGAATCCACTTCTATTGATTGATTTATTGTCTATCCTTACGAGACGTAGCTCATACATATACTCGTAAATATTTACTATCCTCCACATTGATAATGAAGGCGCTGAATTAGTTCGGGTGATGCTCAGCTGGCTGCTCTAATGAGTAGACCGAGAAATAAGGTGCGGAACACAATAGTTCACTTCTTGCTAAAGTGATGGGCTCAGGTGGGTGGACAGGTTGGTGGGGTGGCTCTTTTCCATAAAGCTTTTCAGGGCCCCAGGCTAGCGGAGGCTCAGCCAGCTTCAACGAGGACTCCCGAGGTGGCCCCGAGAGTTGCCGCTGCGGTTATCTGAAAGGGGGAAAGAGCACGGAGGCGCGCGCAGGAGCACGCAGGGACGGTTTCTAGGGGCCAGGCCTATAAATAGCACATATCACTCTGTTCACATTCCTCTGGCTGGAATTCAGTCTCGTGGCCACATCTAACTGCAAGAGAGGCTAGGAAGTATGTGGTCTAGCTGTGTGTTCGGGGAGAAGAGGAGACCATGGATTTTGGTAAGCAGCTGCGTCTCTGTCGTAGGGGCCTATGGAAAATGGTAAGTTTGGTGTGGCACACTCATTACACGGTACTAAAGGTACAGATTTGCACGTTCGTCTCCCCAAGTAGGCTGTGAGATCTTCACGTTTCAGTACCCAGGACAGGACAGGCTATGTGCTCAGTGCTTATTAAGGGGTTTTTGACTGAATGAATGAATGAATGGTGTGAGCTTCTGGGACAGTAGCTGGCCAACAGATTCAGTTGCTTTTTTTAAAAAAAATATTAAAAAAATTTTTTTACAAAGTGCTGTCTGGCTAATGTGAGTTAGAAAGCAGGTGAGGTCATTGTGAGTCTTCTTTTAACTGTGAAAAACATACGTCATTTGTCCTTGAAACCCAACCAATTGGATTCTTTGACACCTGAAGTTTGAATTTGATTTATCTTTGGGGAACTCAGTCCTGTGCAGAATTTAAGTACATACGTCCATGAAATTAATACATTGAGTTAAAGGAAAGAGAAAAAGAGAAATTATAAAAGTAATATATGAACCAGAGATATGGTTGCATATTTTCCAAAAATCTTTCAATGGAAATTTTATTATGAAGGATTTAACCAAAATATTTAGCTGTGGGACTTGGCTATGATCCTTCGAAGTTGGGTGAAATGATGAAACTCTACCTGAGGGCCACCTTTTAAGAAAGCTGGTTTTTAAATGTGTGCTGTATTAAGATGGTATTCTGCACTTCTCTCGAGCCTCCCCCTGGAACAGCAGCTATGATTGGAGGAGCTGTCTCAGGCTTTAACCTCAGAGCTGGCTCATTTTGGGCAACAGAAATCTGTTCCACCTTCTTTGGAGAGAAGGGAATAAGAGCGAAATCATCAATCTTGGTTATACCTAGGAGGAAGAGAAAGTGTGTGGGTTTTTTACCAATACTGAGGAATTCTGCAACACCAGCTGGGTGTCTCGATTCTGACCTTGTCTACCTGGAGGTAGCCTCAGATTCCGCAGGTCAAAGTCTCAGTCCTACAGGACCCCCTCCCCACCCCCGCCATATCCCTTTCAGATGCCAGTCGCAAGTCCAGGTGGTCACCTGTGCTTCAGATCCACTGGCTATAAATTGGAGGTTCCCATGCCCACCTCCTTGGGTTCAATTAATTTCTTAGAGTGGCTCACAGAACTCAGAGAACTCAGAGAGACATTTTACTTACTAGATCGCTGGTTGGTTATAAAAGGATACAACTCAGGAACAGCCAGATGGAAGAGAAGCGTGGGACAAGGTGCCTGGGAAGGGGCCGGGAGTTCTGTGCCCCCAGGTGTGCTGTTCTCCCCACATCTTCACCTGTTTGTCAACCTGGAAGCTCAGTGAGGCCCATCCTTTTGGGGGCTTCATTATGATGGCTGTTGGTGATGATTAAGCCCAATCTCCAGCCTCTCTCTCCTCCCAGGAGGTCAGAGGGTGGAAGGGGAGGTGGGACTGAAAGTTCCACCCTCTAATCACAAGGTTGGCGCCACTGGCAACCAGCCCCCACCCTTAGGTTCCCTAGGGGCTTTCCAAAAGTCAGTTCATTAACGTAACAAAAGACACCTTGCCAGCTCTCCACATTTAGGAAATTCTAAGGGTTTTAGGGGCCCCTTGCCAGGATCAGAATGAAGATCAAAAGTATATTTTTTATAATAAATCACAGTATCACACATGCAGAGCCCAGGAGGGTGGCTAAGCCACAAACACCCAGGGTCTCTTGTTCAAGACAGCTTGTGCTAAAAGCCAAGGGAAAGGTGTGAAAGGAAAATCCAAATGGAGTCGGTATTGCTAAGAGAGAGCAGGGCCCAGGCAGTGCTCATCTAAGTGTCAGAGGGCAAGCAGAGGGAGGGGCCGGGATGGCCAGTGGGGCCCTGGAGGCCAGTCCCAAACCCCAGGCAGCACCTTTAGGGGATGTTGGCTCCTGGAGAGCGGTTTGACTAAAGCTTTGGGCTGATTCCAAATCTGAGCTACCCCGAGTGAGTCACATATGTGAATATGAACTGCTGTCAAGAAAGGTGGATGTTGAGTGAGCATCACCTGTATCACCTGCCCAGGGGTGCACTGGGATGGCCTCCTGGCTGTTTGGACATGCATGCAGAGGTTTCCAGGCTTCCCCTGGGATGCGGAGCCCTGTTCTCCCTTCAGCCCTGGGCAGAAAGGCACGAGGGGAGAGGGATGAGCACGAGGGATGAGCAGAGGCTGGGGACCCAGGAAGGAGGCCTCTCCCTTGATATCCTAAGCTGGAGCCACCCCCCCCCCCATCACACCACCAGCACGCATGCCCACTCCTGCTCCTCTGATTTCTGTCCCCTGCCTGCCAGGTACTTCAAGACCTGGCTTCAGGCTTAATTTCTCCTGAAGCTCCTTTGACTCTTCAGCCTTTCCAGTCTCAATATAGACCAGAACACACAGTCTTGAAACAAACCATGAAATCTTTACTTGCTGGTCATAACTGTGTTTCCCGCACGTCAGCTTTATCTTCACAAAGAGATGATGCTTTTCTCCAGCGCAGGGACCAAATGTTCCAGGTCTCCCGGAAGTGTCCGTGGAGAGCTGGGTGCACAGGCAGCGGCTCCCCAACCTGGTAACTGACCAGAAGCTCTGTTTCAAGAGACCGGGAAGGGCGGCCTTTTGTTCATGCATTCATTCAGCTGGTGCTAAGGGCTGGCTGGCTGCTTAAGGTGTGATTTCTGCTCACACCGAGGTTAAAGTGAAGACACGAAGGATGATTATGACAAGCTCGTTCCACTGCATACCTGTAGGCTCATCTCTCCTCAGTCTCACGCCAACCCTGCAAGTCTGGGATTCTCATCTGACAGTTGGAGAAACAGGCGCAGAGGTCTCAGCGCCAGCAGGTGGCCGGGCTGAGGAGTGAGCCCAGGCGCACTGCAGGGCGGCTCTGGGGGCCCCAGAGAGGCTGGGGAGCTCTGAGGCTTTGGTGGGAGCAGCGGCGGTTTGGGGAATGTTCAAGGGCCTGGGAGGTGGACCTTTTGTCAGAGGCCGCCCCTGCCCTGAGCCTCAGGGCTGTCCTTGCTCTCTCCTTGGGGGCGTGGGGGCTGCCAGGGTGCCCACTGATCTAGAGGCTAAGTGCCTGGCATTAATTCCAGGTGTCTCTCCAGGCACTGCCCCACCCACCCTGCCCCGCGGGCACCACCCCTCTCCTCCTGACTGCGAATTAGAGGAGATTATGACAGCCATCATCAGAAGGAGCTCCTGCTGGTGGCTGCAGGCTGCGCGTGCGTGTGTGTATGTGTGTGTGTAATGGGGCGAGACCCCCCTGCCCACCTTCCACACTCCACCCTCCCCTGTGGCCAGTGTGAACCTGGCTAACTAAGCCTGTGAGGGCTGACTGGGGAGGCAGCTGTGGGGAGATGTGCCCATGTTGTTGGGGCCACTGTGGTGTCCCCTCTCAGTTGCCTCCATTTCTCTGTGTCCTGTGTCCTGGTTTCCCATCACCTGAAGCTGCCGTCCCTGCTTTATCCTTCCTCTCACAGATATCCCCCTGCTCCCTGGCTCCCCACGCCGGCTGAGCCCGCGGGCAGTGGTCAGAGGGGACCAGGGCCCCAAACATGAACAGCAGTACCTCAAGGTGCCGGGTCCCCGAGCCCAGGGTCTGCGGGGCACTTCCACCCGAGAGTCTGGCCAGCCGTCCGGTGGAGGGAGCTCCCACAGCTGCTCTGTGAGTATTGAGGTGGAAGGCTGGGTGACTCTGATGGGGAGGCCCACTTGACTGGGGGACCCTCCACTTGTGGGGCAGGTGTGTGTCAGACAGAGAGAGAGAGAGAGGGCTGGGTTTTGGTTAGGGCCTTTTCCTCTCCTCTTTCTCCAAGCCGTGGTGGCACAGTGCCCCAGCAGGGCTGGGGTCTTCTGCTCCAAGGAGGACAGGGAAAGCGGAGGTGTGAGACGCCAGGTGGCCCCACCTATTGGTCTGCAGGCTTCGTGGCTCACCTCCCACAGGTCTGAGGAACCAGACCTCTGCTGCGACGGCTCAGGCTCTCCCCTGTGCCCAGTGCTTCACCTGGTTGCCCAGGTGACCTCTCAGGTGGCTGCTGAGGCAGCTGGGTATCAAACCAGTAATAAACAGAGAAACACCCAGAGGGGAGGCAGGCCCCTCCCCAACTCCGCCTCGTTCTTTCTCCTCTTCTCTCAGCTCCCATCTCCAGGAGTGGACGGGAGTGACTGCTGTGGTCTTGGGTAGGGTCCTCACCAGTGGCTGGAGAGGAGGAGGAGGAGGATGTGGGGCTGTGAGGGGCAGAGGGCACAGTGAATCTCCGTGGGGTGGGGTGGGCTAGGCAACTAGAAATTGGCTTTTGTTCCAATGGATCCAGAGAGCCTGCCGGTGAGTACTATGTGTTTGCAGGTGGCGGGTGCAGATCTGCAGGAAGGTGGGGTGCTGTCGTGAGGGCGGAGGGCGGTGTGTGGAAGCGCACCCGGGTGATGCGTACGTGCACAGATGTGTGCGGGAGCGCGGGGCTGTGCGCATGCGCGGGCGGGGGCTCCGTGCGTGGAGGCCGGCGGTGGGGTGTGCAGGGTTCGTGCAGCGTGTGCATCGGGGTGCGTGCGCGTGCGCGGGGTTGGGCTGCGCGGGGGCCCGCGAGCCGGCGCAGCGGAGCGCTGGCTGGAGGCTCCGGGAGCCGGCCCTGGCCGTGGCCGACGAACTCGGGCCCCTGCGTCCTTTCCCTGGGGCAGCGAGGGCCCTGGTTCCCAGTCTGCACCCCTGGGCCCAGAGCACAAGGTCGGCCACCCGGGTCGCTCGCCCCTCCCTCACTGAGCCTCACCGCCGGTGTCCCGGCCTCTCTGACCAGGTCATCAACAACTACCTGGACGCCAGTGAGCAGGTGTCCTCGGAGGCCCGTCTCAGCCGCATGCACTTCCATGACAACCAGAGGAAGGTGGACTACGTGCTCGCCTACCACTACCGGAAACGCGGGGCGCACCCCGGCCACGCGCTGGCCGTCATCTCCAATGGCGAGACGGGCAAGGACCCCCGCGCAGGGGCACCCGGTGACATTGACCTGGGGCCGCTGGACGCCCTGGAGGAAGAGAGGAAGGAGCTGCGGGAGGAGTTTGAGCACAACCTGATGGAGGCCGGGCTGGAGCTGGAGAAGGACTTGGAGGTGAGTCCAAGGGGGTGGCCCAGGGGGTGGGGCGGGATGGCCCTGCGGGCTGGGCTCCTGGTGATCAGTGTCACCTGCAGGAAGCCTTGGCTTTTTTTTCTGGCAGGTGGTCTTTTTTTTTTTTTGGCCGACGGACCAGATTGTCTTGTTCAAGGGCCTGAGGAAGACCTTTGAGGTCGCGAGTGTCGGTGGAGGAGGCAGGGACATGCTTTGCGTTCTGTGCTCCTCGGCTTTGTCCCATACAGAAGGCAAGGCGTTTCCTCCTGGCTCGCCATCCTGTGATGGTTTCCTTGGGCTGAAGTCCTGGTTTCCTGTTGAACTTTGGATGAAAATTTCTCTATAGGGGACTTACCTCAGTAAGGGATGTGCTTGTCTGGGGCCCCCAGGAGGCTGGTTATTTGGGAACTGACATCAGACACATTTCATCAGCTTGTGAGCTGTATGTATTCTCACCTCTGATCGGTAGGCAGCCTAAGGAAATGCATTTATCAATGTATCTATCCATCCATCCATCCTTCATTCACTTCTCCATTTCTCCATATCACAATGATCCTTTAAAGATGACCTGCCCTCGCCATCCCCTCCAAAACCGTCTCCTGCCCCTCCCTCCCTTCCCCGTTTGCTCTGCTTAAATGTTACCTCCTTCTAGACATCTTCCCTGACCGTCTTAGATGAAGTACCCTCACCCCCATCTCTCAGTCCCTTGACCCTGCTTCATGTTTCTTCATCATACTTAGCATCTGAAATAACATGGTAGACTTACTTGTCGTTTATCTGTGCCCCTACCGGCTCCATAAAGGCAGGGGTCCTGTTTGGTTCACTGCTGTATCCTCAGCCCCTGGCACAGAGTCTGGCACATAGTAGGAGCTGAATAAGTGATAGTTGAATAAATACGTGACGTCCCTGAGCCTCAGATTCCTCACCTGCAAAATAAAGGACACCCGCTGGGTCGTTAGACAGGGCAATGGGAACATCTCACATAATGTCTGGTATACAGTAGGTGCTCCATAAACACTCATTATGGTGATTGGAAAAAGGTGTCATGCTGAGGGGTGGGGTGACATTCTCATCAGAAACCTGTTTTGTTAGATTCACGTTAATGCCACCCCTGAACTGGAAGGGATCCCAGAGGTCATTCATCCGTTTTTCTGTCCCCAGGAGGGCGTGTGGCCTGGCTCAGACCCCTGTGCTGACCTGTGCTGCTTATCCATACTCCTACCAGGGGCCCCGCCTCTCTCTAGTCTTTCTGCCAGTGTAGGGACGTGTGCTCTTTTAGGGCCACTTGGGGCTGCCTTGCTGTGAGGATGCTTTCCCTTTTGGGAACCCAAAGCTGTCTTGGTGCCTCTGATGGGGTCTGGTGGGAAGGTTTCTCGAGGCAGTGGTGTGTTTTGAAGGCTGTACAAGACGCTGGTGCCACGACCCCTGTGAGAGGCTGTGGGCCAGGCACCTTCTCTGGGTGTCGGACTCCGGGAGCATCGGGGAGTGGAGGCCTGGGCCCCGGGCGGCTGCTGAGCTGGGGAACAGCGTCTTTCTCCAGAGGTGGACTCGGGTCTGAATACAGGTGTTCACAGCCCAGGTCTGGCGCCTGCCAGCCCCCCAACCTTGGGCAAGTGACTCAGTCCGTTTGAGTCGGAGTTTCCTTGTCTGTAAGAATGGAAAACAATGCATTTTTCACTGGGTTGCGATGAAGATGAGACAAGACAGCAAAGTAAAGTGTCTGGAACAGTAACCGTGAGGAAGAGTTACTGTTGTTGTTATTAAGTGCAGTTGCCAGATTCAGCAAACGGAAGCTCAGGGTGCTTAGTTCAACTTGAATTTCAGATCAGTGATAAATGATTTTTAGCATAAGTGTGCCCTGTGTAATATTGGGAACATGTCCGAAAAATGATTGGTCTGGGAGGGAGCACGTGGTTAGCATGCATGAGGTTCTGGGTTCAATCCCCAGGACCTCCACTGAAAAAACGAAACAGACAGACCTGACTACTGCCCCCACCCCCGCAAAAAAAGCCTAAAAAGAAAAATCTATTGGTCTGAAATTCAAATGTTACTGTCTTTGTACCTTTTACTACTTCTGCGAGCATCCCCGTGATGTTCGCTGCCCTCCGGCATGTTTTATTGTGGTTGCTACTGGATTTTCCTGCCTTCGGCTGGGAATTAGGAGGGACCAGAGGTAGCTCTTAGGACTGACCAGTGTGGGACGGGGGCGTGGAGCATGCCCTGGACTGTTGTCGCTGTTGTGTAACTGCCAAAAGCTCCCCCTCCCACCCCCACCCCAGCTTCAAGGCCTAGTGAACTCTTCTTACCTGGGGTGTCCCCCAAGCTACTCAGCCTCCCCCAAGTCCCCTCTGTCACCAGAGTCTCCACCACTCATGTAGCCGTTGTGTCTTACTGTCTCACAGTGTTTTCTTTTTCTCCCTCTCTTTTCTGAAAGTATTCGTTTGGGCAACCCTGATGCAAAGAGTTGAGTCAATCACAGTTCTCAGTCACGATGTGGATGTGTTACTGCCACTGGTCTGCACGCAGACCTTCTTGTTGCTCATTTAAATTCCCTCTGCCCTTCACTGCCTGCTCCCTCCGCAGGTGACACTGCCTTGTGTTTCTGGAAAATGTATAGTGTCTTTTTCTGCTTTATGCAATGTTTTCATCAAAACAATAGACTTTATTGTTTAGAACAGTTTCGAATTTGCAGAAAAACTGGACAGAGAGTCTGCCTCTCCCGTGTACCCAGTTTCCTCTGTTATTAACAGTAATGTCTACACTGACTTGGTACCTCTGTCACAGTCAGTGAGCCAATGTGGATACGCTGTCATTAGCTAAGATGCCTACTCTGTTCAGATTTCCTTAGTTTTTACCTCCTGTCCTTTTTCTGTTGCGGCATGCCAGCCCGGATCCCACAGTCTGTGTAGTTGTCGGGTCTCCTTAGGGCTCCTCTTGGTGGCGACGGTTTCTCCAAACTGTTTGCACTTTTAATTTTCCTAAGAGGCACTCAGTTTTACAGCCCATTCTGCTTCTTACCCTTTCCTCTCTGCGCTTTTTCAGACCATTCACCTTCTGCACGTGCATCTGATCCATTTCTTTCCCTAATGGGTGGTCGCTAGTCTACCTCATCACTCCCCTCACGATCGTGGGCACCCAGGTTGCCTCCAGCTGTGTTGGTTGCCTTTCAGTCCAGCAAGGTTGAGAATGAATTGTCACCTCCTTCCGGACCCTGGTCCCATGATCTTCTCCACCGGCCCCCAAGCC